TGTATAACTGTAAGCAACGATAAACCATTACTAACGAAAAAACGACTCTGAGCGGAGTCCAATTGATGGTGATGCTTTGTCAACAATATATATGCCATATTATAGTCAAATAATTTGAAAGACTTTATATATTTTCTTTAATATTTGTTAATTGTTGTACCGATTTTCTTTTTCGATTCGTAATTAAGAACTGGATTTCGGAGGAAAAAGTGTGGGTATACACGCGAACTATGGCTAGTCCCGAACGCATATTACCAAACTTCATCTTCTATATTCTATGGGACACTTATTATCTCGGCAAGTATTAAAGTTTTTCGGATTTTTGTTTGAAATACAATCACTAAGTAGTTGTTACATTACCAATATTTTAGTCGCCATCATTTAATACTTTTGGGGACGAAACAATTAATACCTTCTTTTGATTTTTAAACAACATCAAAATTGTTTTTAATAATAAATATTCGGAAATGGTTTTCCATATTTTATCAATTTTATTACTAATCGACTACCAGATACCCGATCTAATAATAATATGTATTATTATACTAGCTTATAAAAGCTTGTATCCATGTGTACTATCTTTACTATCTATATCTGTCTCATTGAAGATTTATTTAAAAATGGATGTTTGTCGGTCTGTTTGTAATGTATATATATATATATATATATATATATACTCAAAAACTGGTGAACCGATTTACCTATTGAAAACAACCCCCCAAAATTCGGTTTTAGGTATTCCTGGTCAATCAAATTATTTTTGTTGATTTATGGGTTACCATGTTAACGCGGATTAAACTTGAATATATTAGCTTATGAAAGTGTGTATAACTACAATATGTTACAGTTGAAAAGAGAAAATTCTTAAGAGCTAAGATTTTGTGCTAATTAATGGATTTTAAAAGTTATTTACTATGTTTGTTTTGGTAAAAAATAGATTTCATTATTTTGTTACATTTGTCTTCATTCAATGCTTATTTTAAAATACTGCCATTAGTAGGTACCTAATGTATGGATAGGTTGTTGTTCGTATATGTGTATATTCTAGTCATTCTTGAATTATGTGTGTTGGATGATTAAGTTAACTTGACAGTTATTGCACTTGGGTAGAAGTTTTTTGTTGATAAATTATAAGTAGGTGAGAGGTACGAGTTAGGTTAGGTTAGGTTATGTTCATCTTTATATTATTCAAACAATAGAATATATAGTAAATTTGAGAAATATAAATTATACCATAATTTATGTTGAGACACAATAGTTTATCAATTATTATTATTATACCATCACTCTACTCCCAAGGCTGTACAAACGATCTTTATCTATAATGCATTATGCTATAAATTCGTAGAGTAGCTTCAACCACGACCATGCTCACACCCTTATCGGATTGACCAGGGATGATGTATATTCTACTGTCAATAGGTTTTTCGTGTCTAATTGAAAACATTTTAACGAATAGAACATACGAAAAATTATGTGAAATTACATGGTGTCAAACAGATTTTCGAGATCGTACCGAACATCAAGTGATAGAAACAAAGATCAAAAGGTTCAAGTTGACTATAATTATCTATATATACTTATAAAATAATAGGTAAAAAAGGAATTTGAAATTGTTTATGAATATTTCTAAAAAGTATCTTTTAATAATAACAATAAACTAATAGGTTGTGATATCGCATTATCGCCAGAACAATAATAATATTATACTATTTTCCAGATTGCAAACATTTTTCCTACAACCGAAAATATTGCATATTACATATTGGGACATTTTCGGCCCGATGATATTATATTTGAACGATTTTCCTAGATTCCCGACAGTTTTTCGGAAAAAATTAAAACTATTGAAAACAAATGGCGATACATCGATAATATTTTTCGAGAAGTTTACTAAGTTCCGTTCATAATCGTTTTCTGGTTCAATGATTATTCGTTGGTTGTTTCAAACAAATTTTAAATTCATATTTATAAGTGGTATTTTTACACGAATATACTACGTATAGCTTTCGACAGTTGATTTACAGTCAAGCTTTAGCTTTAGATATTATAATTCTTTACGTTTTTGAAAACAACCGAAATTTCGCGATCACAATAATAATATTATTGTAAATTAAGTCATACGAACGAACAATGATTCGATAAGATAAAAAAGGCAACTCGTGTTTTTGAAATGTTTAAATTATTATACTTATCTATACTTATTCGATACAGCCGAATTGCGGCTAATGTTCTGTAAACACGTTCGCATGATATATTCCGTTAAGTTAAATAATTAATTATTCGGCGTTGATAACACTAATGCGTATACACGTATATAACTCCGTTACCAAAATAATGTCAATGATAAAGTTAACAGGAACATTTTTTTTTACGCTGAATGTTAATAATTATTACAACATGCAATATCTCTCACTCTAACTTAGGAATATAATTAAACGTTCGCGTGCCGAGTTAATTTCTGCTGTTAAATTAGTTAATGGTTTCTGTAATTAAAACGCATAGCATTAAATTAGATGTTTTTAATTGTCGAAATAATAATTATAATATATTCAAATGAAAACAAAAAATGACGTAAACTTGGTGTTTTTGAATTTTTTTATATTTATTTACGTGGAAAATAATAGACGAAGAAACAATATTTGGGGAAGCAGTACCTAAAACATCGTTGAGGCTGGATGAGTCGGGCGCGCGAGGAGATCGGAACGATAACATGCCATATTGCTAAAAGTAGGTTCTTTTTCGGAGAAAAATTTAAAAATAAGTTTTTAAATATCTAAACATTTTGTCGGTGTCTTTATATCATTTGATTTTATTGGCCGAACAGTTTAAGTTGACAATTCTTGAATTCCGAATCTTTAAAACAAATTATGTTTATTATTATTAATGCGATATAACGACATATATTGTCATGTATACAATATTATTGTGTTTACCCGTCGAGAACGGGAGTTAATTTCGCTCGTGGGAAGGTATAATTCCATACTAGGTGGAGGGTCTTTTTTGTTGTATTCATTTTCAAAAAAAAAAAAAAAAATAAATAAATGGAAAAAAAAATGTTTAATTTAAAAATAAAATGTCTCGTAAAACCGACTGTCCGGACTCTATTCAGAACCGTTTTTGAACGCGATGATTTATCACGTTGCTTTCAAAACATATAATAAACAATAAAATACTGTTTGCGCTAAAGCGAGTATAAAACGAGACGAACGTTGCGCGTCCGGTCGTGTCTGTATATTCCGGGGGCCGTAACTCGTTGTTTTTAATTAACAAAAGTATGTACTACCAATAACAAAACCAATTGTATTATAATATATAATAATATGTCCAACAGTGATGTAATCGATACGGGTTGTTTTTTTGTACTTTTTACCGAATTGATTGATTTATGTAGAAAAAAAAAAAAAAACAAAAAAGTCAAATGCAATAAATTGGAGTACATTTTAAGCGAATTTTACTGGCTGGTATCGTGGCTAAGGAAAACGGACTTCAATGGGGTTTTGAACCCGCCGATATTATGAGATACTCTTTTCTGGTTGGCTCATATACACACACGATATTACAAATTACGACCGTGTGTATCAAGACGTTACCGTGCTTTCCCTAGAATTTTTCTAGCAACGCCACTGCTCGTCATAAAAAGCTATAGCGGGTACTTCAGCAAATTCAATTTCAAACGAAATTAATTCGTGTCGTGTGAAATTTACCTTTCGGGACACGATGAGTTTTCAATTTCGCTTTAATTTTTTCAAAATAACTTCTTCAGAGACGTCTGAAGGGGACGCAGTGAATATTAATGCACCCACTGATAATAAAAAAGAAAAAAAAAATCATTATTGTAAGTATTAAATATTGAGTAAAATAATGGTTTCCTTCTTGATTAATTGTTATCGTTTTAAACGATAGCCACTTTTCCTATTCAGTGTTTTGTAAAATGATAAATGATGGCCAATGATAAAAAAAAAACCAAAGAATATCGTGTTAAAACATATGGTTAGAACCGTAGGACTATGCTTAAGACCATATTCTTTCTAAGACCGTAGTTAAGATTGTAAGCCAATAAAAAATATAAAATAAAATATAAATTATACTATTTTAGATCAGAAAGTAAGCTACGTAAAGAATTCTTAGTCCGTTTATTTAAAATTAATATTATCATAGCTATGGCGTTTTATGGATACTCAAAAATTCAATTTTATTAATAATTTTTTTAATAGTAAATACGAGTACTTAAATTTTTTTTTAAATTTTTCAAACCACAATAACTCCCGAAAAAAAAAAAATAGAATCTGCATATATTAATCAAAATCTAGTTAAAGAACAGATAAGTCAATGCCAGTGTAATTATGCCAATGAATTGTCTCGTTTTTGTTTAAAAACTTTTGTCAGTTTAATCCATAGTAAACTTATTCATTAGATAAAGGAAACAGAAGCACTAGTTGATGATCCAGAGGCTTCCTCCCATTCAGAGCGTTTTCAAGTTATGACATCCAAATCGATCAAATCCAGGTAGTAAGAATCAATAATATTTGAAAATATTAAATTACGATGTTCAAATTTAAATTAATTAAGCTTTGGTACAGGTGATTCATTTATTAGAGAACAATCATTATTTGGCAAACTATACATTTATTTTTCAGTCTTCAACAAAATGATCACACGCATAAAAAATATTTATAACAATTAATGTCTGAGGACTTAATCCACTATCAATTAAGATTACCAATATCGATTAAAATTACAGGCATTAAACCTGTAATTATATAAATATTATTTTGTTACTATGGTGTATATATGCATTTTTTATATTTGTATACATTTTACTATTGATAAAAAATCCCAGGTCAATATCAATTACCTAATAGAATATTTTTATTTTTAGTAATAAATCACTAAGTACTAACTTTAAATAATAAATAATCTAATGTGTTGTAAAATGAAACCGTGAATGGTTATAAAATACGAATTCACAAATGTCAAAGTATTTAATGGAATTATTGGTAGCTACATGTTTCTATTTATTATTATTATAAATACAAATAAGACAATAATAATGGCGATTAAAAATAGGTTTTCTGATAAACACCTTAAAGCATTTTTATTATTTAATTTACATCCAAAAAAGACGAAAAAGATGAATTTTTATTTGTATTATAATTATTTAATTGCATTTTATGGGGAGGGGGAGAGGAATATATATTTTTGTGACGAAAAAAATTTACTGAGCCCCCCCCTCCCCCTTAAGCACCTACCGATTTCTGCCTATGGTTATACCTACCGAACTTAGTTTTTACGGGCTCCCATGCCGTTCTCCTTTCCCGTTATATTGTTCTAGGTCCGTCCCTGCGTGGCACTCCCGTCAACCATGTAGGTAAACCACAATTTTAGATGGCTCTAATTAGTAATTTCTCATTAGGGGCCACCTACTCAACATTTTGTTGAAATATTACGTTGACTAGGTACAGTAAATGGTGGAGTAAAACCGAAGATAATGTTTACATTTTTTAAATTTCTCGAGTTCATCGGGTTCGTACATAATGTTCACGGAAACAAAACACAAATGACAAAACAACGATGTTTACATTTGTTATCTCGTCGCATCGTTACAACGAATACCGTAATATATTATAACATTAAATTTTACACTTTACAAAACACAATAATATTTAATTCGAACAATACAAAATTAATACCTTTCTTCTTACGATATACATAATAATAATAACATTAAATGTTTTCTATTTGTCAATTTACAATTAATAATATTTTAAATATTTAAAAAAATTACAATCTGGCTGTATTATATACGTTTAATAGTGTACAACTTACACTAGGATATATTATGTATATATATATATATATATATATCGATATTTAACACGAAATATTTATAATAATTACAAAACTATTCTCTACATGGTATATAATTTATTAACGTACAAAATTAATTATAAGACCACATTATTATTATAAAATATATAGTATACAATAAATTACGCTATAGTGATGATTATAATATACAATTAAAAAACAATTATAAAAATAGTAGGTATATTGTTAAATGGCACTGTAAAATGATAAAATAACTTTCGGGTCGTAAAATTACAAAAATATCAAACGCGTTTGTGAAATACTCGGTCGTTGGTTTTCTTCTTCTTCTTTTTTTTTTTTTTTTTTCATAAAACGAGTATAATAATATAAGATACCTATAAGTGTTTACGGTCCGTTCTTGCTCGCGGATACCCGCTCGCTTTTTCGAACGTTCAGTCCATCCGTAGTTTCGGACTGTACGCGTTGTTTAAATCGTTGTCCTGGGACTTTTTGGTACACTGGTGGAAGACGACGGCGTCGTGCACGGTCGGGAAGAACCGCACCGACTTCAGCCCGTGATCGTTGCGGATGTACTTGAGCGAAATGTCGGGCACGGCCACCAGATATATTTCGAATTGGTCGGCGATCAGAGATTCGATTAGCTCGCACAACACTTTGGCGCCCGACAAATCCGCGTACTGAAGACCGGCCATGTCGACGATTACGCCCGGCGTGCGGAAGTTGTTGGCGGCGGTCGCGGTTTTACTGTCGATGACGGCCACGGTGATGGGCATACCGATGCCGTTGCTGTTGATTTCCTTTAACAGTTTCCTCTTGAACATGTACCTGTTGATCACGTTCAGACTGCCGGAGTACCGGAGTATCTTGACGTCGGGCACTTCCACGGCGTTGCCGTACAAGTCGAGTCGCATGTACAGGTCGGTGTTCGGCAACCTGCCGAGCACGTGCACTTCGTTCAGGACGCCCTTGATGAACACAAACAACAGCGATATGCTGACGCCGATCAACAGACCGTAGTCGATGTCCATCATAATGACGGCCAGGTAGGTAACGATCCACATGATGCCGTCCGATTTGGATTTTTTCCATATCTGTGGCAAGTCGAATATTTGTAATATGATGCCTTTGAGGGCCACGACCACTATGCTGGACAGTATGCACCGCGGCAGAGGTTCGAAAAGGACACCGACCCAAAGCAGGACCACGACGATGATACCGGCCGACACTATGCTGGCCATTTGGGTCTTGCCGCCGACAGTCTGCTGCGAAGCGCTACGGGACGGCGAAGCGCCGCTGGGCAGGCACGAGAAAAACGCTCCGACCACGTTGCCGATTCCCTGGGCCAACAGCTCCTGGTTGGTGTCCAGTGGGTACTTCAACTTTTCCGACACGAGCAACGCCAGCGACATGGTGATGGAGTATGCGACCACGGCGATTATACAGGCGTCCAATAACACCATGGGAAACAGTTTCAAGGGTGGCACCTCGAAGCTGGGCAGACCCGATTTTATTTCTCCCATCTGTAAATGATACAAAAGTTTACCAGTATTAGCCTACAAATATTGATTTTCAATAGTGTCCAAGCGTATAAACAAAAAAAAAAATGCGTCGTTCGGGCGTACCTGAACCATTTTATTGTCTTCGGCTATGGTGGTCACTTGGAAAAGTACCGTGCTCAAGACGGTCACCATCAGTTCGATCGGCAGTGGCATGCACAGACTCTTGTTGATTTTTTCCTTGAAATACGCGTTGTAAATCAGTAGCGACGAGACGGTTACCACGGACACCGAGGTCGTGACCCAATTGATCGAGTTGAAGTTCGTCACGAAATCGATGTACGTTATCGGCACCATCAGCAGCCCCCGCCGCCTGGGTGTGTTCAGTCCCACCAGCTCTTTCAGCTGCGAAGTAAACACAATGACGGCCACGGCCGCGGTAAACCCACTGACCAGCGTCTCGGACAGTATAGTGGACAGCATGCCCAGCCGGAACACGTACATTAGCAGCTGAACCAGGCCTACCACCATCGTGACAGCCGTCGCTACTTGGATGGCACTGTAACCGTTCGGGTCAATAGTGGTGTCAGTGGAGTAGGTAGCCACCACTTTGCCGGTCATCAGGCACACGACGGACAGCACGCCGAGCGATATGTGCCGGGACGTGCCTAGCAGGGCGTATATCAACACGGGGAACACGGCCATGTACAGGCCGACAGTGGGTTCGACGTTGCCCAGGATGGAGTAGGCCATGCCCTGTGGTATGTTGAGGACGGCCACCGTGATTCCCGCCATCGTGTCCTCCATAAGGTCTTCGGACCAACGGTAGTTGAGAAACAGCCAGTCAATCGAAGGTATCACCGTACGCACGAAATCTGTCCATCTCCGTTTTTTCTTACACTTGGTGACCGGTCGCTCGATCATCGTCGCATTAATGTTGGCTGACACGTCCACTTGGTAAACGTGTCGCCGCGTGTTGATTTCTGGTTCACAATCAGTCGTCTCCATTTTGGCGTCTGCAAAACGATCAAATAATTTGTTGTCGTATTAGTTATGGCTAATCAAATTCGATTAAATCGATTTGATAACAGCGCTAACACGTCGAAATATGTAATGTAATATCGACGTTGGACTTTTTGTTTTTGTTTTTTCTAATGTATAGGAAGCGCAATATTTTGTTTTTTATGACCCGGCCTAACCTGACCTATAAAGCTCGGGAGAATAATGATATGAGCTAACAATGTCTATATTTTTTCAGAAATATATTTCCAATTATCAAGAATACAATACTAATATAATGCCGGCCCTTTAAAACGCAACCCCTAGAACACGACCGCTACAATTCAAAATTCGGCACTTTTGTCATACCATTGTCAATAGAATCGCAAAAACCGTCTCTGCGAAACGATTGACCGGCATTACGTGAACGCCATTGTTTCTGGTTAGAAAATACAATTATAGAGTGTAATAAATGGTTTTATCATCGACGCTATACTATCAAATATTTGTTAACTATACAATTTCGTCTTTAGATTCTTAAATGCTAATTTTTCCCGTTTAAACACTTGTTGATTAGACATTTTCTTTTCAATTGTACTTTTTAAAGAACAGAATAAGCCGTTTTGTACAAACCATAAACGTAACGAACAATAATTAAACGGTTAGTTGAACCGAAAAATGTACGAAAACCATTATTAATCATATCGGTTTTAGTCTCGGACGAATACGTTTATGTGTAAATAAAAAATAAAATTGCAAAATCGGATTGATTCGTGTGGCGAATTTCTCTGTAATGCTACGTTATCGAAAAAAAAAAAATAAAAATGTTAAAATTGTATACGTTTGAAGCGTTTAAAATGTCACACTACACGATGTACTTGTACGGTTTCGGCGGGCATTCCGTCGGGCTTGGGGCCACTCGGAAAACCCCGAATAAATTAATTTGTACCGTTCTAGATTTCTGAACGAAATCGAGTATTCGCATAATCAACATAATATACGTAGTTCAACCGTCAATAAATTGCGTATTGGATTTTACATTTCGGCCTAACGTAACGGGCATTATTGATTTACGACAATAATATAGACGTCTGATGTCTTACCGAAGATCAATGTCGTTTGAAACTAACGTTTTTATTGCACTAGGTTTTTATTATTATCATTATTATTCTCACGCCGGTCTACTGGACGTTTATTAGTTTTTAATCATCATTGTCTCAACGGTACGCAGCGGTATATTATACACAATCGTTTTAACAGCTACGCCAATTGAAAGACGTATCTAACAATATTACGTTACACGTGTTTTAGAGCAAAAAACCCGCCGTTCGGCCGTATAAAATGCAACGGACGGGTAGTACAGCACACGCGAATTTTCAGTTTGTTTAAATCGATTTAAAACCGGACGAATCGGTACAATAACGCCAAACGGATAAATATTTTTCAACAGTTGCCGAGAAACAAAAAAAAAAAAAAAATTAAAAATATTTTTGAATTATTGTGTTCGTAAAAAAATCAATTTCGAAACGAATTGGGCCGAGAAAAAATTCAATTCTATACACGATATTTTTTTACCGGTTTTTTTTTCCCGAGGGTAGAGCTATTTTATGTGTTAACCCATAATGTTTGGATGCTAAATGCTAAAATTTTTTTGTTTTACGATTGAAATTTCGTTAAAAACACGACGGGGTTGTCGGGTTTTTCACGACCGGAACGATCACGAATTCATTGTTTACAAGCGCATAATAACTTCCGTACGGATTTGTCTCGATGTCTCGCGGCCAAACACGAGCACGATAATTTTCTCGATTCGAGAATTTAACATTCAAAACGCGAATTTCGCCCGGAACCGTTGGGTTATTGTGCGAATAACCCGAATTGTCCCGAATCACCCCTCCCCCTTCCCGTGCAATATACATATAATATATTTATCGAAAAAACTTTAACAAAAACTTACTCATATTTGTTTTTTCGCACCGCAAACGTAGGTGGGTTGTAATATAGGTACAGGTGTTTTATTGTATAACAACGGGACCGAGCACTCAAAACGCCGTGGTTTCTTAATGTTTGAGAAATGAAAAACCGATGGAAATCGTTTCGATAACAATTTAAGAAAAAAAAAAAAAAAGAAAAAAATTAAAATAATTACGTATATTTTTACGTTATGTGCGTAGGTACATGTACCCACGGACAATATTTATAAATCTGTCGTGGTTATCAGGACGGTTACTTCAACTAAACTGAATATTCCGCTATGAAAACAAGAACGCGATGTTTCATCATTAATACACACGCACATTATAATGCATTGTATGTACTCATATATATACGAATGAAATTTTTTTATCTAAAATTGTCAAGTAGATTAAATAAATAAAAAAAACCGATATTTCTTTGTATTGCGTTGGGATAATAATGTTATAGCGGTTGTTTTTATATTGGTTCTTATACCCGGCGTACTTCAGTACGTCTCGACAAACAATACGGACTTCGAATTTTTTATAATAGTGAAAAAAAAGTATTAATATAAAACGTCGTTTTTCCACCAGTGGAGAGGTTCTTCGAGATTCGCGAGGCGGCGGCGCACTGTTTAATAATAATAATTATATTGTGTTTATTAAATTACCAGCATATAATTGTTGAACACAATTACCGTTATCGTTTCAAATATATTGTTAATTTATAACAAAAATAATTGTACCGACCGCGCACTCGCGATGGGAACGGTGGCGGTAGCTAGATATATAATATACATCATACTTAGGTACCTCCTGACGTGTCGTCACAACTAAAATCGGTTGTTTTTCACGTTACATTTGTTTTTCGCGATCTATCTCCGATACGAAAAATGATCGACCGGTGGGTCGCTATTGCACGTAAACACAAACGAGATAAAAATTGTCCAGTACTTGAGCAAAGTTACAGCGCGAGTACAATGATAAAATAGGTAATATGCCGGAAGCGAAACGCCAACACGTGTATGAATTAACGGCAAATATGAGAAAGGACCACCGGGAAATTTCCGGTATCCCGACGGGGCAGCACACGCACCCGTCCGGTTCGATGAACAGACGACGGTCTATAATAATATTTTATTTCCTTGATCCCTTATGATTTATTTGATAGACCTAGTGGTTTTTAAATCAATACATTTATACGAGGTCTCTTCAAAAAGATCCGGGACTGTATAAATTGCGTGCCGACGGAGCATTTGAGAGCAGTAGGATTGATATCACTGGTTTCTGTGATTTCTCTTGAGTACATATGTATTTGTAGATTCTCTAGAACTTTTTTTGTTTTATTATCATCAATGTTTTTTTAAAGTATTTTTTCGCTTTTGATGGTTTTGTAATAAATCCAAAAAAAGCTTTTTTTGCGTGTGTGTGTGTGTGGGGGGGGGAGAGTTGAATGGAGACAATTTTTCTTTCGTTTTGATGATTATACAATGATATAGGTAATGTTTATTACTACGATAAAATGTCGAAAAGTTCCTGATAAACCGGACTTTGGAATTGTTTTCGATCTTCGACATTTCTTCCGCATTCTCGAGAAAACTTTCACTAGGCAAATCTCCAGCTTTTCAGTTGAAATTTTTGTGGTATAAGTCATATGGAACGGTGCATTTCTCTACCGACCAAGATTCTGTCAACAGAAGAAAATAATCTTCTTTAACACACCAAAAAAAAAAAGAAGCTCTTCTTTTATGTTTATTACAAAATCGCCAAATGTGAAAAAAATATTTTATAAAATCATTGATGATAACGAAACAAAGAAAGTTGTAGACAACTTACAAAAACAAATATGCTCATGAGAGGTCACAGAAGACAGTCATATCAATCCTACTTCTCTTGGACGCTCCGTTGGCGCGTAATTCAACCAGTCCCGAAACTTTTTGAACAGACCTCGTCCATTAAGATTTTAATGACTTTTGTACTGCGTGGCGTTTAAATAATTAAAAACACATGCAAGTATAGTTCCTGACTAAATAAATCGGTATACGTCAGTAAAATCGTTTCACGCATACGAAGCGCGTCCCGAACTTGGAATAAACGGTAACCACCGGAAAAGAAACAATTTGACTGGAATCGGATTGTTTTTATCTCGGTTATTACACGGAACATAAATTGGCATTGCACCGTTTTTCAAAGTCTGCAGGGATTCGTCACGCGTATGCAGTGATAGAGAGAAAAATTTTAACACAATCTGACACGTATAATATTTATTTAGACATGGTATGTAGTCTTATTATAGTGTTCATACTTTCCAAAAACAATTCGTTCAAATTTAAATTTTTTATACTTCTTACTAGCCATATTTTAAAACGATTACACGGTACTTGGTATTTAAAATGTATGAGAATTTTTTTTTAGTTATTGTAGATATTAAAAAAAAAAAAAAAGAAAAAGATTTTAGGCATAATAATTTAAATATTTACAAGTAATACAAAGTGGCATACATAGGATTTTAACAATTTGTACATATATATATTTATTGGGCAATAAATTNCATAATAATTTAAATATTTACAAGTAATACAAAGTGGCATACGTAGGATTTTAACAATTTGTACATATATATATTTATTGGGCAATAAATTCGTACACAGAAGAAGTGTATAAATTACTATTCTTGGTCCCTGAACCTTAACTTTTTACTGGCATCGCTGCATATGCAACTCGGCTCTGATACTAAATACGTTTCGATATGGACGATCAGTCGAATAAATAGTGAACTAAAATAATTAAAATGGCGTCATCGTCACACTAATCCCAATGTTCCAATTTCAACATTGTGCTCTCGTCGAACGTCATTCCGCTGTACGGCAGCTCGTACGCGTCATAACGTCGCGCAAAATAATAATAACGTTGCAATAGGCGAATTATATTTTTTATTCGCTCGAATGTAATTCGTTTCGAATTCCCGTGATCCGCGGTCGGCGACGGCGGAGAGACGGCCGGTCGGAAACAGAAAAAAAAAAAAACAAACAAATATTTTATTTTTTTTCTTATTTTTCCGCCGTCTTGCCCGTGACAGTGTAACGCGTGCGCCTATTTCTATCTACCTGCCACGCACTTTATCTGTCCGTCGCCAAGTCGCGTCCGGCGGTTATATTAATCTGAACGCGCGTGTTCCCGACGAAAACCGGAGACACGCGCGCGTTTATCATAATGATAATATTATTATTATTGTCATCGTCGTACATCACAGTCTTCCCGAATCCGGTCCCCTCCCGGCTCCGCGTCGACACTCGGATAAAAAAAAAAAAAATAGGGGAAAAAAAAATAAAAAAATGTAATGTATACGCGCGCGCAACGGCGTGCACGCGGTTTAATTAATGCGATGTTTACGCGCGCGGTCCGCGGACACCCGTTGAACGATCCGTACTGGTTTCAACGCGCGGGAACCCGGGGCACCGTGACATACCGACGACGACGACGACGCGTTGTGTACTTTTTATTATTTTTTTTCCTTTTTATATTTCGTCGGTTTTTTTTCTCCGTCGGCTCATAACTCATCCGGCCCAGACGGTGTTTTGACTGTACGCCTGTCGGGCCGTCGTCGTTTCACGCCCCGCACGCACGCACGCACGCGCGCACGCACGCACACACGCGTATGTGTCTAACATATACGCGCGCGTACCTACGCCCCGTTACTGTAAATACCGCAAATAGCCGGCGAGGCGTTCGGTTGAGTAGTTATTACGCGATAACGCCGTTGTTATTATAAATACGCACCCCCCCCCCCCCCCCCGCCCGCTCCACGGCCGCGTATGACCGCGACCGGACACTATGCCGCGGCCCGGGCCGCAACGTCGCGCGTCAGAAACTCGCGCGTTACGGTACGTCGGGTTCGAACAACGTAATTTTCGCACTTAATTTTTCTTACGAATTTATCCTCCGACTGTACAGCTGTACGCCATACTCGTCGCGGTAATATTAAAAACGTCAAATCGTCTGTTGCCGTGTACCGTATACACTGTAACGCGATACCGCGACACGGGATCCGTACTATATCGCGAGACGCGATCGCAGCCATAACAATACGAAACGCACGTCCGATACGCGCGATTTTTCTCTAGACGACGTTGGGGGGGGGGATATATCGTTCACCGCGATACACCGCAAACAGCCGGTCGGGCACACTCGAATCGCCCGCGGGCGGTTCGCGTAATAGAAACATGCGCCGACTGGATTCGGGGGACGATGTTCGCGCGTACTGAGCCGGTCGGACGGTCTGATTCGGTCGCGGGTTTCGATTCGTTTGCGGAACGGCAATACGCATCCCGGCCGCCGTCGACGGCCGTACGGAGCGGACCTGGGACCGCGTACCGCCCGCACACGACGGCGGTCCCGGTACCCCCGTGTAAACACGGGCCCGTGTACCGATACCGCGGCGAGTGCGGTCGGAGTGGCACGGACGTACGGGAACGGGTCCTCCCCGCGAGACTGTCGTCGTCTTCGTCTTCGTGTTGACAGACCGCCCGAAGTGGAGTCGGTACACGCGCACGGACGCGGCGGGAGACCACGTGATCTCCACGCGTTTAAAACGAACCGGATGTGATCGCGGGTTACAATCCCGTCGAAATATTATTATTGTTTCAACGCAATGTCGTGTTCCGTAAACTACCGCGGGAAAAGCGAATTTGAGTAACGACTCGTACGAGTGTCCACGAGTCCGGTTCGTCTCTATCCGTTCGATTTATTTTTACTACAGTTCGTCCTTGTGATCCCTCGCAACTGTCCTCGTTCACGTCTCCCCGATCGTTACGATTTGTTTCGTGCGATCCATTCTTTCAACGCTTCCTCTTCCGACACGACTAGTGGCGCACAGTGGAACTTCGAGAGCACACGCGGTTAGCAAACCCGTCCGTTTTTTCCTATATGTAAACAAATGCTCTCACTACGTTCCACAAAATCATACTCAACAGAACGTTAGCGTTCTCTTCAAAACTATTTTACAAAATAATTAATTAGCCCGTTCGGCGTTGCCCGTGCCAAACAAATGTGTAATAGAAAACGATTTCTCTCTGGATTTCCAGTTTCAATCTCCGTCGCTATCACTGTAGTTCACCGTCGTTGCCTTACATTTAAAAAAAATAATTTTCTTTAATTTTCGTTTCAAACTTAATACGTAAATTAATTATATAGTTGCTAAGCACAACAAAAATACTTAACAAATGGTTATTTTTTATTCAGCCCAAACTATACTACTATACTGTAGGTTAGGTCTACTACTTCTACTGATCAGACTGAGGATAGTTAAAACCTTCTCCACGATAAACTTTATTATTAAAAAAAAAAAAAAGAAAACAATTAAAACGATTGGATCAATAGTTTCGGAGATGACACGTTACAGAAAAATACCGTTTCATATTTATATAATATAGCTGACACTCATGACTCTGCCTGTATCAGTATTAAAAGAGGAAAAAATGCTTACCGTCCCTTGCCCTATTCCTATCCCTGCATTTAACCTTTGTTGTTACCTAAAAATGGTTAAAAATACATTTTCTTGCCCATGAATAGATGTCCCACACAAATTTGCATTAAACACAGTATTAAACGCAAAACAAATTGTAAT